TGATAGATGAGGCCCGCGCCTTCTAAGGAGCAGGGGTGCTTCCAAGAAGCCCTCCCCCCTCGCCCCCACCGCCCCTTCTGCGCGTGGCTGAGTCTGGAGGGCCCGCTTCCCACTGGCTCCCGGTCCTTGACGGCGACGCCAGACCTCCGCCGCCCCGCGTCGGGGCCTACACCCCGGCGGAAAGAGGATAGCACTTTCAGCTAAGAAAGCGACGTTCACTCCAAGCGTTTTTTTTTAAACAGTAGTCCAGGTCCAGACATACGAAAGCCCCGCGACAGAAAAAAAGCCCAAAGAAAAAAACGCCCAGGGCCCAGTCCACATTCTTGATTCTCACAGACTCCACCTGAAGTCCACGACAGTTGCTGCTCTTTCTCAAGTCGTGGCTCCCTGTCGGGCCCCCAGGCCTCACTTGCACCGAGGCTTGGCCCGGCCCTGGGACACCGACGATGCGATGCTGCAGTCCGCGGCACCAGTTGGGCGCAGTTTTTCGGACCCTACAGGCCCCCGTGGGAGCCCGAAAGGGCCCCTGTAGGGGCCCCAGAGGGCTCCTTTTCTGGGGCCGGGGCGGACCGGGGCCGGGATCCAGAATGCGCGGGGGCAAGCGCTGGGAGGGGGAAGTGCTCGCGAAGTCTGTGCGGCCGTTTTCCTGCCTGGCGCGTGGCCCCCAGAGCGACACGAGGTCTTCTGGAAATGCGCGCTTGGAGGGGGAAGTGCCTGCGAAATTCTCGCGGGAGCCCTCGCTGCCCACACATCCATCTCCCCCCCAAGCCACGCGCGGCCCAAGCCAGGGGTCTCGACCCCCTGCCAGGAGGGCAGCTCTCCGTCCCTGGCCCCTGCTTGACCATCCCGAGGCTCGAACGTCGGCGGCGCGCCCGGGGGGGGGGGCAAGCGAGAGGGGGCGGGCCTTCGCAGAAGGCTCGGAAGTCCCCTGGCCTTCTGGAGAAAAGTCTGAGCCTTCTTGAGGACACAGAGAGCGTGTCAGAAGGCCAGAATGATGGGCCTATTGTCCACCACCACCACCACCACAAGTTGGAGGGGGGGGGTCCTCCTCCTCCTCCTCCTCCTCCTCCTCCTCCTCCTCCTCCTCCTCCTCCTCCTCCTCCTCTTCGTCCTCCTCCTCGTCCTCCTCCTTCCCCCCCTCCAACAAATTATGGTGGTGGTGGTGGTGGAAAACAGGCCCATCACAGAGGCTATCTGAGAAGCCTTGCCGCCTCACAGACATCGTGCTGACATCCGGAACGCTGAGTAAGGAACCAAGGGGCTTTGCTGGCCACTGTGAGCCTCGGTCATGACCGAGCTCCCCGGTCATGACCGAGCTCCCTGGGCTCCCGAGCCTAGATTTAGGTCGGGCACGTCCTCCCACAGGCGGGTGTTGTAAGACAACTGTTTAACAACAGTCAACAGGTATTCCATCATGTGCATAAAACACCATCGAAACATCGTCCCCGCAATATATTTCCCCTACTTTCGAATACCCCTCCTGGAGAGGGACACGCCCGACTTAAGCCTAGCTCTACGGAGCGGCCCGAAAACAAGAGCTCCGCCTTGAGCCCGGAGCGGTCCAGCTTTTCCGCGTCATGCCCGCAGCGGCTCGCGCGGCTGTCTTGGCGTAGCCTCTCGGGTGCTCTCTCGGCCTGCCGCCCGTCCGGCAGGTCCCGGAGGCCCAGGGAGGCCCCCGGGGTGGGCCACCAGGGACGGCCGAATCCTGTTGGCGGGATGGCCCCCATCGGCGATCCATCGGCGATGTATCGCCGATTCCAGGTCGATGCCAATCCCCCCCCCATGCCAATTCCCCCTAGCGTTGCCCCCCATCTCCGTCCCCCTTCCCGGTCGCTCCTCGGCTGCGCCCGCTCCTCGGCTCGCTAATCGCTCCTCGCTCGCTCCTCGGCTCCCGCGCCGGTCCTTCGTGCTGGCTCGCTCCTCGGCTGTGCCCGCTCTGTTCCCTGCGGCCTCTCGTGGCAGATCTGTGAGATAGGAGCATCGTCATCGCAACCTCCCATGCGAGATCTCTGGTGCGGGGTTCGTCCCTGAACCCTGTGGAAGTCATGCGCAGTCCCAAAGAGGCGGCGCCAGAAAGCGCGACCGGGTGGGCCAGGGCCAGGATGGCATGGGCTCCACATAAGCTCCCCTTAACAAGCCGTCTGACTGACCCAGATCTCCGACATCGCGATTGGTTCGCAACGTGGATCCGCGGAAGCCTCGGCAACCGATTCGTGAAGGTCCCGCGGGGCCCGGGTGATGGCCATCTGTGGGCGAAGGGTGCCGCGAAGACCTCCGTCGTGCTTGTGTTCACGGCGCGGCGGGGCCTCGCGAGCCATGGGCCTCGCGAGCCAGCGCCCTGTGCGCTGTGCGCCGGGCCCCTGGCTCAGCACGTGACCCCAACTCTTCACGATCTGCTCCGAAAGCAAAGGATGTTGGGTACGCAAGGGGCCTGCAGGTCCGACCAAGGCGGCAAACCCGCAAAGGCATCATACACCACAACAATGCCTGGCCAGGGCCGTCCTTGGCCCCGGCATGGGCACGGTGTGAAGCCCTCCTGACCGAGGACGCCTAGGTGCGTAAACCGTTCCAGGGTGACCCTGGCCAAGCATGGTGGAAGGGTTTTTTCCAGGGGGATCAGGCGCATCGACTTTGTCACCAGCCTCTGGATGCCAGAGACGGCGACAAGCAGAGCGCCTCGATGCTGCTCGAGGCGACGGATGTCTCGGAAGGGGTCGAAGATCGCCTCTTTGCCTGGGGCGCGCTCTGGGCAGGATTTCGAGGCGGAGTCCAGCAGTGGCGGCGAGAGAGCCCTCGGAAGGCGCAACAAGGCCCACGAGCAGCCGATCCTCGCGCCCCGGGGCGAACAAGAACTACAAGAGCGGCGGCTGCCCGGGTGGGCTCCCCAGGTGCCCCGCAGGTCTGACCGAGGCGGCGGCCCCTCACACGCACACGCACACGCACACACACACACACAAACACACACACACACACACGCACGCACGCACGCACGCACGCACACACACAAACCTACACGCACACACACACACGCACATACAAACACACACACACACCCGAACGGGGCCGGCACCCGCCATCGAGAAAACGAAAGAAGGAGTTAGAACATGGTCGGACAAAAACGGCAGCCCAAAGACCCTCGTCAGTTCGGTTCGCTTCGGTCACCGTGGGGGAAGTGAACCCTCGCTCATTGCTCATTCTCCGAGTGCCTCTGCATTTCCCATCATTCGCGGGGGCGGATTTGGGAATTTGGGAAACCCGAGGCTCGCGGGGACTCCGGGCCGGGTTCCCCATCACTCCTGTTATTAAGTTGCCGGGAAAACGTTGAACATGCCGCGGCCCCAGAAGAACAGCGCGACATAGCGAAATCCACGCTGGCATTCTTAGAAGACAGTGTCACCTAGGGTAGAGCCCCCCTCCACCACTGCCAACTCCTCCGCCATCTTCACAGCTCTGTCCGTGTCCTACTCACCATCCTTCACCTCGTCCGTGCTTTCACCCCTTCTCTGCAGAACTCCCCCGAAACAGTGGTTGCACTTCGGGGTTCTCTTACTTCGGTTCGAAGGAACTGGACCGTGTCTTCGGTCTGGCAGCTATGTGGACGCAGTCGCCGCCCCGTCGCCGCCCCGACGCCGCCTCGTTGCCGCCCGTCGGCTGGGCCATATCCTCGGCCTGGCGGCTATGTGGCCGCCGTCGCCGCCCCGTCGCCGCCTAGTCGACGCTCTCGATTGCACAACGTAGATTGCACCACAAAGACTGCACCGCATAGATTGCACCACATGGAGTGCACCACATAGCATGCAAAACATAGCTTGCAACGCATAGGTTGCACCACATGGATGCCACAGCATAGATTGCACCACATAGTGCACAGAATATAGTGCACCACATAGAATGCACAGCATATATTGCACCACATCGATTGCACCACATTGATTGCAGCCCATATATTGCAACACATAAATTGCACCACTTAGACTGCACCACTGAGCTTGCACAACAGACATTGAACCCCGTAGATTGCACCGCATGGGTTACACCACATGAGTTGCACCACATCGAGTGCATAACAAATGTTGCACCACGCACATAGCACAACATCGATTGTTGCGAACACTCATGCAAAAGCATTGTTTGGGGTCACGAGGACAAGCATGTGCTGAATTATTAAAAGCAGTGACAACCCAGAGCCCCGCGGCAACCCCGCCACCCTCAAGGGGGGTCAGCGCCCGCGCCAGGCGGGGCTGCAGCGGCGCCGCGCTTGCCATATCGCTCGGACGCTCACTCCCCGTGAGCGGCGCCACGCTTGTCCTCGCTCGGACGTCCTTTCCCCGTGCACTTCTCGGCTTCATGCGCTTCTTTGTTCGCGGGAAGTTGAGCAGGGACCGACCGTCCCAACATTCCTTCAGGGCTATCACGACATGTTCTTAGAACCCAGAAGTGTTCCAATAACAAAAACAATGTTCTTAGACCATAAGACCGATGTGTTCAACCAAGACGGTCTCAGCCAGAAATGTTCTAATAACATTTCTTGCAAACAACAGAAGGTTCTTAGAACACTTTTTGGTGGGCATGTATCGGCGGTGGGCAAATCTCCCTTGAGTAAACCTTCGCTTATTGAAAACGGCCTGGGACCGAAACCGACGGACCTGGACCGGCACAAATGACGGCCGCGACGCCCCCTCGCGAACCGAAAACGGCCCATACCTTGATCGACGTGTCAGGGTAGGAGGTCTGTCCGCACCGACGATATAGGCCAGCCGCGACGCCTCGCCAAGACGGTCTCAGCCAGAAATGTTCGAAGAACATTTCTTGCAAACAATGCAAGGTTCTTAGAACACTCTTCGGTGGGCCTATAGGCCAGCCGCGACGCCTCGCCACTGCTTGAGGATGCTCCTCGAGGGCCCTCGCCGAGAAAAAACACCTCACACCCGAGCGATGCCGAGCCGCAGCTGCACGGCAGCGCCCCCCCCCCCCCCCGAGGGGCGAGAGGGGGCCGGCGCCCGCGCCGCGCCGGGCTGCAGCGGCGCCGCCCCCGGCGACGCCCCACCCAGGACCGCCGAGGCCTCGCGGCAGCGGGGCGCGGGCGGGTGGCGCAGGGGGGGGGGAACAGGGGGAAGGCTTCTCTGGGCATCGCTCGGACGTCCATTCCCTTTCGGTTTCGTGCGTGGCTTTTTCGCCAAATGAGCAAGGACGCTCCTCGATGGTCCTCGCCAAGAAAAAACGCACACGTCCGAGCGATGCCAAGTTCTTAGAATAGAGGAACGAGCAACGACATAAACAGAAAAACTCGGAGGTCCGCGCGGATTTCTCGGATCGGCGCTGGAGACCCTTGGCGGCGCCTCCGGCGCCGCCCCTGGCGCGCTCCGCGGGCCAAGGAGGGGGGTCCAGCGCCGATCCGAGAAATCCGCGCGGACCTGACCTCCGAGTTTCTATGCTTATGTCCTCCTTCGTTTCCTTAGACCAGGGGGAAGGCCTCTCAGATAGAGGCTGCTTCTGAAGAAGGCGCTGGCCCTGCATCTCAACGGGTCTGGCCCGCGCCTTCTACGGAGCAGGGGTGCGTCTGAGAAGCCTTCTCCCTCCCCTCCGCGCCTGGGGGGGGAAGCATGCGCCACACCAGCTGCACCGCAGGGGCATGGGACTTACTAGGGAATCGAACTCTATACACCAACGCTTTTTCCGGCCATGCGCTGAAACTCTCACAAGAAAGCGAATCCTGGTGTATATGGGGTCCCGGTGTATACATGGTTCGTGGTTTCCCTGGGGAAGAGGGGAACAAGTTTTTTTGTGCACAGAGGATCAGCGCCGACCCAGTTCAGAGGTTTCAGAACTCTTGATGCAGAGACAACACTGAGCTTGTTCTCTTAAGCACTGGCGGAAAAAAACGGTTGCACCCCGCCGTCGTCCCCGACCCTCAAAAAGTCCTGGGATTGAAAGAGGGCCCGCCACTGGTAATGTGTATGTTCCAGCTTCCGACTTGCCGCCGCTGCTGGGGCGCGCTCCCCTCGCCTCAGCCTGAGCCTTCCTGCCCCCGCGCCTCGGGGGGAGGCATCTTAGAATAGGGGAACGAAAAACGACAAAAACATAAAAAAACAACAAAAACTCATAGGGCTCTCCGCGCCTGGGGGGGGGGAAGCGTGCGCCATGCCAGCTGCACCGCAGGGGCATGGTCGCCGCAGCCTCCTAAGCCTCCTCCTGCCCCCGCGCCTGCGCTCGAAGCCTCGAGGCGGGGCCCGGCGTGCGCTCGCGCGCGCGTGCCGGACATGGGAAACAGACAAAAAACTCCATGAACATTCAGTCGGGCGCGTGCCCGTACCAGGGGGATTCTGGGCGAAAAAAAAGGTGCTCCAAAAACACCCCTCAATGGGCCAAGATATTCGTTCCCGGGTTATGTTTGACTGTTTTTGAATATTCCTCCTGTGGAGGGACACGCCCGACTTAACATGAACAAAAGCATAAACTTTTGGCGCTCCGCGCGGATTTCTTGGATCTGCGCTGGACCCCCCCTCCCCTGGCGCGCGGAGCGCGCCAGGGGCGCCGCCGGAGGCGCCGCCAGAGGGGCCCATCGCAAAACGAATAAATCCGCGAAAACTTGCCATCTTTTGAGCAGGAACCGACCGTCCCGGCATTCCTATAGTCTTACCACGAAATGTTCCTAGAACCCAACGATGTTCTAAGAAGAAAAGCAATGTTCTTAGAACGTAAGCCTCATGCGTTAAAACAAGACAGTCCCAGCCAGAAGTGTTCTAAGAACATCTCGTGGACACCGCAACAGGTTCTCAGAGTATTGTTTGGTAGGGCTAGAGGCACGCCGGGACGCTTCGCCACTGCTCGACAGCCGTTGGATCTCTTCGGGATGGGGCAGCGTCGGCAGAGCCTGCCGAGGACCTGCAGAGCCTGCGCGTGGCTGGGGGCCGCGGGCGGGCGGCGCGCAGCGAGCGCGGGCGGCGGCCGTGCCCCCCCGCGGGGGCCCGCGCCCCTCGCCAGCATGTCCCCCTACAGGCGGATTTTGGACGAAAGGTGAAACACATACTCCCAAAAAGTATTCAAAAATAGGCAACGCATACTCAAAACATGGTTCCCGGACTATTTTTTGACTATTTTTGAATCGTCCATGCCCGAGTGAACCATAGCCCCTGCGTTTTTCGGTTTCCCGCGCCTTTGCTTGATGCGATGGTGCGCGACGCTCCTCGGTGATCCTCGCGCCAGGGGGAAAAACACACACACACACACACGTTCTCAAACGGTGCCAAGACATATAGAGGCCTCCTGGACGGGGTCGGAGGATCGCGCCGCATCGGCGATGCATCGGCGATGCACCGGCGACGTCGCGTCGGCGATGCATCGGCGATTGAAGAGAATCGGGCCCCACATCGCGCCGCATCGCCGATACATCGGCGTGCATGCGGCGCGATCCTCCGACCCCATCTACAACACATACGTCCCAAGCCACTTGGGGATGGACGGGTCAGCCACGCGGAGAGGACGGCGGACAAGCACACGACGGACTCCTAACGTCTGCGGCTGGCTCCCCCGCCAGATCTCATGCGCGGCCAGCATATCCCCGTATCCGCACCCTCGCGGTCTGGATTCCGGCGCGGGATCCTGCGGACACGCGTGCGAGGCGGGGATTTATCCACATCCACCGCCTGGGAACCAGCGTCCTGGTGCCCCAGCAAGCGGTGGATATGTATGTATTTCGGCCCCCGGGTGCCCGAGCATGTCCATATCCACCGCCTGCCGAGGCTACGAAAACTGACCCTCCAGGCGGTGGTCATGTATAATTTCCCGCCGCGAAGCGCGGTCGCACGGATACGTCCCACGCGGGGCCTCCGCGAGACAGAGCCCCACGACATACACGGCGTCGCGACCCCGGGGGCCCAGCCCGCGAGCATGCGTCAAGGTTTTTGTTCGCCCACGAGCCTCCTCGCGGTGAGAGGGGGCGGAGGGTGAAGGAGGAGGAGGAGGAGGAGGACGACGAAAAGGAGGAGGAGGAGGAGGAGGAGGAGGAGGAGGAGGAGATGAGAGGGGGGAGGAGGAGAGAGTAGGAGGAGGGAGGAGGAGGAGGAGGAGAAGGAGGAGGGAGCTGCGGGGCACCCGTGGGGGGCGAGCCTCCCCCGACATCCCCCCAATCAATCGCCGCGGGGAGGGCACGGCGGAGGGCCTCTGGCAGCTGCTACGGCCTCTGGGGGCCCCTGCCAGGCCCCAGGTAGAAAACAAACATACCATAAACATAAACTTTCAGCGCTCCGCGCGGATTCCTTGGATCTGCGCCGGGGCCTCGGCGCGGATCCAAGAAATCCGCGCGGAGCGCCCAACAAATATGTTTATGGCGTTTTTTCTTTTTCGGCCAGGGCCGTCCGCAAAGCGGCTCGGGAGGGAGCCGGTCCCGGGGGCAGGGGCCCAGGCCTCTGGGGCGCAACGCCGCAAAACAGTCCCGACGAGGCACCTTCTGGGTGCCGTGCCTGCGGCGCCTGCGCGTCGTGGCCACCTCCGCGCTGGCCTTCCGACGCCGCGTGCATCGTTCCGCCTCGTGAGCGCACTGCACACGGAAAAATCCTGCGTCCGGATCGTTTTGCACGCCGCAGATCTGTTGCAACCCACAGAGTACTACAACATAGCCCTCCAGACCTATGGACCATATTTTCACATATTTTCTGGGTTTTCGTCTGCCCCCCCACTTCCCATATTTTCCAATCTTTTCCTCGGAGTTGACGATTAATTGTGTCTGTATGTTTTTTCCCCTCCTGACTCCTCGCCCGCCCCCCGCCCCGCAGGACACCAAATGCGGCCGATTCGGCGCGGCCAGTCTCAAGCAGGGACCGACAGTCCTGGCATTCCTACCACGACATGTTCTTAGAACCCAGAAATGTTTTAGAACAAAAACAATGTTCTCAGAACGTGAGCCCGATGTGTTAAAACAAAACAATATGGGCCAGACATGTTCTAAGAACATGTCGTAGAAGCCAGAACAGGTTCTTAGAACATTGTCTGGTGGGTCTATAGGCACCCATGACGCTTCGCCACTGCTTGACAGTCTGTCGCCAATTTTGGCGTCTCGCCGACGCTTGACCCCTGAAGCTTCATCCCCGTGGCCCTTCGGACACGAAGAAGGCATCTGCACACCGCCACCGGGCCTGGCCAGGGCCATAGTGGACCCTGGCATGGTGTGCACGCCCCCCTGGCCGAGACGAGACGCTCCATACACCATCCCAGGGCGCAGGATGGCGCTGGCGGGGCCCGGTGTGTGAATGCAGCTGGATGCATTCTGCGGATCGGAGATCGAGCTTGGGCACGGAGCAGACGGGCCCTGAGGGAAGCGGCTCCTGAACCCCAGGGCCCTCCGACCAGCCTGTCCTCCTGATCGGTTTTGTGGACCGTCCTGGGGCCCGTGGAGGACCCCAGGAGGCCCAATAGACAACGGACAGCTCAGGACCCGCCGGCATCGTGGCGAGCGCCCCCCGGGCTCCCCCTCGCCGCTCGAGGGGGGGCCTCGCTGCCGACGCGCGGCGCCGAGATGGAGCTCCCGCTGTCCAGCCTCGCCAGCGAAGGAGGCCTGGCACGGAGGGCCATGTGCCGGATTTGTTTGCTGAGAACGAGAAAGAGAAGGCGACGCCGACAACGACGACGACGCCACCGACGCCGACGCAGAAGCCAACGAAGACGGCGACGACGACGACGACGACGACGACGACGACAACGACGACGACGACGACGACGACAACGACGACAACGATGACGACGAAGAAGACGACGATAGCGAGGGCGAGGGCGAGGACTAGGACGTCGACGATGACGACGCTCAGCTCGGGCCGGGGCGGGCGAGGGAGGGGGATAGCCGAGGGAGGGGCCAGCAAATCGGCCGCCTGCCGCTGTTTGTATCCAGCGCCTCCCGGTGCCAGGGTCGCCCGTGCGTGGAGGGGAACGCCCGGCAAGGGGCCGAAAGACCATATGCATTTTGGCAGATGGTGTGACCCCCCCTGGCGGAATTCTCGTCCGACCCGAGAGGTAGTGATGAGAGAGGCGGAAATCCCCCAAAGCATAGCAGTGCCAAACAATGCAATGCTATCTTTTGTTCGGTATTGCTTGGCGTTGCTTAGCACAGCTTGGTATTATTTGGCACTTCACGACTTCCGAGGACCGCCGAATGAACACCGAGAAACCGGGCCGACTAAGGAACTAAGATCCAAGAACCCGATGAACCCCGCGGACCCCCCCCCAAGGAACGGCATCGCATCCACTCGTTCATTAACAAGCAGGCGAACGCCTTGGGCAAAGCCTGATTGGAGAAGAACGGGCCCGGGTGAACAAAACAACTGCCCCTAGGAAGGAGTCGAGACCTCCAGGGCTTCACGTCAGGAACAACTTGTGACGTCGAGCGCTTGTTTCTCCTTCTCCGCCTCAAAGGAGGAAATAGGATCACTTTGCTGTTCTTCTAATTCGCCCTTTTGGGGCTACCAAGGGTCCATGGTCGCCATGGCTGGATCCGCCTTGAAATCCTAGTCGGGACGGGCTCCCGGACAGGTCCTGGGGGCCATGAACAGGATGCGATGGCGGGGCGGTATGAACAACGTGGTGTGGCGGGATGGCTTTGGCACGGTACGGGATCAGGGTGTGGGCCAGCGATTTGGTGAGGGCAATGAAGGGTGAAGGCCGAGCTCCCGAGAGAGGGCCGCCTTCATTGCCCCCCATGCGCCCGAGACATGAGTAGCCTTAGGTCGGGCGTGTCCCCCTACAGGGGGCTTTTGGATGAACAGAAATAATGCAAAAAGACCCTCAATTGTCAAAAAATAATCAAAAAATCGTCCCCTGATTATTTTTTGATTATTTTTGAATATTCCTCCTGTAGAGGGACAGGCCCAACTTAAGAGTAACACCTGGGTTCCAGTACGGGCACCGACCGATGGCCATCCATGGCCCGCTGACAGCCGTGGACTCGACGACAGGGCCGTGGCCGCCCTCTCTCAGGGACCACGCTGGTCCGACAGGCGCCTGGTCCGTGGCCTGCATGTCTCTTCCTTCTCGTCTTGCTCCCCCTCTCGCTGTTCTCGTGTATTGGTCCAGGCAGCTGTAGATAGCTATGTGGAGGGTGGGTGGAGCAGAGAGGTGGGAGAAGGGAGGAAGGAAGGGGGGCGGGAGAGGAATGGGAGGCTGCACGCGCCTGCGTCTGGGAGAGGCACCCGCGGCGAAAGACGGAGACGCCGCAGGCTGAAGCTCCTCGAAGTGGGCCACGTTGGGCTTGTCTGCGTCCTGGCCAGACCAGCCCAAAGATGGGCGAGGGGAGTCGAGAGAGCGAGGGTAAAAGCCACGGGCTTTCAGCACACTGCCCAGCTTAAGTTTCTCGGGCCAGAAATCGCTTCAAACCCAAGCCCACAGCCTGCAACGTCAATTAACCAGGGCCCCTCACAGTGAAACTGTGAATACGCAACACGTGCTTTTCATCCATCAAGAACGGCTTACAAATCCGAAAGAGCCACAAGCCATCATGGGAACCAGAGCGCAACCACATGCGTGTGGGTAGCTACCCTTCGTCTCAGCCGAGCGCTGTCACGAGCCCGTGGGTTCCAAGGTATTTCAGGGAGGGTTTATCATCAGATTGCACTTGGCACTCAAAGCTCTTGACTGCCCTTGCTCTTCCGATTGCTGCCATCAGCTCGACCCTGCCACTGCCAAACCTTACCAAGAAGAAACCAGCCACCACACTCTTCTGCCATGTGCTGCCCTCCCAGCCAATGGTTCCACATCATGGGTAAAAGTGGCCCAGGGACATACACACAGATAAATAAATACACATGCAACGATTCTCATGTTTGTTCAATATTTTCTGGATGGTCGTCTCCCCCCCACTTCCCATACGCTTCACATGTTCTCCTGGGGCCCGACGATTAGTTCCCAGCCATCCTGTGGTGTTGAGCTTTGAAGAGACAGCGCCCTGCGTATCCTCCTTTCCTCTCCTCCTTCCTCCTCCCCCTGTTCCCTTTTCCCATTCTTGCCTCTGCCCTCCGCAGAACCACAATTTCAGTGCACCCAGTACAACGCTTCGTGGCCCCAGAGGGAGTTCCATTGAAGGCCCCTGTGGCTGTGATCACATGAATCCCGCGCCACCCTTCACGGCGTTTCGTGGCCCTATAAGGAGCTCCACCGAAGGCCCCTGTGGATGTGATTACATGCGTCGCCACCCATTTCGGCACACCCCTCACACGCTTCGTGGCCCAATTTGGTATTTTCACCCTCCCGGTAAAGCGTTTCGTGGCCCCTTAGGGAGCTCCACCGAAGGCCCCAGTGGCTGTGATCACATGCGCCCCCGCTCGTCATTTCGTTACACCCCTCACACGCTTCGCGGCCTCCATGACGAGCCCAGCCGAAGGCCCCAGTGGCTGTGATCACATGCGTTCCAGCCCCCTCGGCACACCCCTCACACGCTTCGCGGCCCCATTGGGAGCTCCACCGAAGGCCCCAGTGGATGTGACCACATGCGGCCCCGCCACCAATGTTGGCACATCTCTCACACGCTTCGTAGCCCCTTAGGGAGCTCCACCGAAGGATCCAGTGGCTGTGATCACATGCGCCCGCGCCCTCTATTTCGGGACACCCCTCACACGCTTCGTGGCCAAACAGTGAGCTCCACCGAAAGCCCCGGCGGCTGTGATCGCATGCGTCCCCGTCACCAATTTCGGTACACCCCTCAAACGCTTCGCGGCCCCCACAGGAAGCTCCACAAAAGGCCCCAGTGGCTGTGATCACATCCGTCTCCGCTCCCCATTCCAGAACACCCCTGACACGCTTCGCGGCCCCATTGGGAGCTCCACCGAAAGCCCCAATGGCTGTGATCACATGCGCCCCGGCCACCAATGTCGGCACATCTCTCACACGCTTCGCGGCCCCAAAAGGAGCTCCATCGAAATCGAAGGCCCCAGTGGCTGTGATCACATGCGCCCCCGCCACCCACTTCGGCACACCCCTCACACGCTTCGTGGCTCCATAGGGAACTCTACCGAAGGCTCCAGTGGCTGTGATCACATGCGCCCCCGCCCTCCATGTCGGCACAACCCTCACACGCTTCGCGGCCCCCACAGGAAGCTCCACCGAAGGCCCCAATGGATGTGATCACATGCGGCGTCCCCGCCACCCATTTCGGCTCACCCCCCACACCCTTCGTGGTCCCACAGGGAGCTCCATCGAAGGCCCCAGTAGCTGTGATCACATGCGCCCCCGCCACCCACTTCTGCACATTCCTCACATGCTTCGTGGCCCCATAGGGAGCCCCACCGAAGGCCCCAGTGGCTGTGATCACATGCGTCCCCGCTCTTCATTTCGGCACAAGGCTCACACGCTTCGCGGCCCCCATGACGAGCCCAGCCGAAGGCCCCGGTGGCTGTGATCACATGCGTCCCCGCCACCCTTTTCGGCACACCCCTCACGCGAGTCGCGGCCTCATCGGGAACTCCACCGAAGGCCCCAGTGGCTGTGATCACATGCGTCCCCACCACCCATGCTGGCACACCCCTCACACGTTTCGTGGCCTGTAGGAAGCGCCACCGAAGGCCCCAGTGGCTGGGCCCGCAAGCGTCCCCGCCAACCATTTCGGCACACCCAACGCTTCGTGCCCCCATAGGGAGCTCCACCGCAGAGGATACGCACTACTGCGGTATTCACAACTGCGTATGGCTGGGTCCTTCGCCAGGATGTGTGTTTGTGTGTGCTGTTCCCTCTTGAATTGGGTCTCACATTGTGGTGGCATTTCCCTCCAAATCGTTGCTAGGTCGCCCACAAGCCAGAGGGGGGTGGGCAGGGAAGGCAAGGCTTACGAGCTATCATCCGCAAGCCTTATCGTCCGCAGTGGGCTGTCTGCTGCCTTCCTCCGCTCCTTACATGCCTCCTGATCCCTTAACATCGCGTCGCGGCGTGGGAGCCTCTTCCGCTCCGACGCGCATATAGATCCCCTCCTGCGGCGGGTGGTTCGATTCCCGCTGGATGCGCCATTGCATCGCGCGCCGCGCCTGCTTGCCCCCCCCTCTCTCTTCAGGCCCTCCTGTCCTGCAAGTCTCGCCGCAACGCTACACCGCCAGGTGGCTTTATTCGAAAGGTCATCGTTGAGCGACCCCTTCAAAATTGAGATGCGCAGCGGGCACTCGTTGCTGAACGGCCCCCCGCCCGCGCACCTCGATGCGCTGGCTTCGCCTTTGCATGGCGGGGAAAGTTCCCCGCTTCGCGCCTTCAACTTCCCCCCCCCTTGCTCCATGCCGCCATACCTGGTTTCACCTCCAGGGGCATCAGGTGTTCATGAGAATCGCATGGCAATAGCCTGGCATAGATCAGAACACCCCCCCTGCGAGTCTAAAGCGCGGGCCGTTATCCTCCCCCCTTCCATTGTCCTCGCTGCCTTCCCTGGACCCGCCACCGTGCCAACGCCACGTTAAGGCGAGATCTGCACGACCATCGCGCCCAAGACGGCCCAAGAGACTTCTCGGGACTGGCGGAAGTTCCTCTGCCGTGGCGGGGTTTGCCGCAGGCAGCAAGAAAATGGCAAGGTAGCCCCCCGGAGTGAGTGACGACGCATCAATCCTCCTTCTGCTGGCCTGCGTCGAGCTGCTTTGGGGGCCCTTCCAATGAAGCGGGCCTTTATTCACCCGCCGTTACCTTCGGGGGTTGCTGAAGGTGCTCCAGGCCCAAGGTGCCCCCAGCGTTTCGCTCAACTTTGGAGCCCCTGGGGCCCTCTGGTGACCTCGTGAGGGGTGCTCCGGAGGCCGTGGGGGCCTCACTGGAAATACTGGGGGCACCTTGGGCCATAGCACCCGTGGCACTCTTTGGGCGCCGGGAACCGTAGGAATACAGTGTAGGCCCGACCACAAGAAACCTTCCACAAGAAACCCAACCCTGGAACCCCAGGACGCCCATTGATTTTGGCGTGGGAACGCCACGCGCTCCACAGCAAAACCATTGAAACCCCAGAAACCCAGTGCACCCTGGAAGCAAGCAGGGTGCTTCTTGGCATGGGCCGCCTCTGTGGGATCCCGGAGCGGAGCGCCCTGTGCACGGGATGGGATAGGCCAGGGGGGGGGGGGCCGCACGGAGCAAAGCTCAGGGCATCGGAGGCGTCCCCGGATCCCCCCCCCCATCTGGACGAGAAGCGGCTGCCTTCCGGAACATTCCCAGTCCCCCCTCGCGCTGCGAAAAAAAACACGACGGGAACTGTTTCGCCATTTTCGGCCTCCCAGGGGCCCTTTACCAAGCCTCGGGACCGTCAAAAAATGGCTCAGGATGAAAAGCTGGTCCTAGGGAAGGGGTCCAGACCTCTGGGGGTCGACGTTGTGAAAAAAAAACACGACGTCGGGGGTCTGGGTTGGGCACGGTCGAAACATGGTTCCCCCATTTCAACCCCATCACGGCAACTCGACAGGAAGAGAGCCAAATTCACACCTGATGCGAAGGTGAATGCACGTTGAAACAACTGACACATTAAGGGGAAGGAACCTCGGGTACAGTCGGAGCACGGCCACAAGACTGTGCGGTAGCGCTCCTTCGCCTGAGAACCCTAGGCCCAAGGCCCCGATGCGCACTCCAGGGTGGAGCACCTAAACACGGAGAACCGGATGGTACCCTGCATTCTGCGGCGAGCGAGGGGGGGAACTGAGAAGAAGGCCTTCCCAGAAGGCGGCGGGGCTTCTCAGACGCCCCTTGCGCCTTCCGAGAGGTTGTCTGTGCCTTCGGGGATGGTTCCGAAAACTCCCCAGAAGGCCCGGGGACTCCCGAGCCTTCTGAGGACGCCCGCCCCTTCTCGCCTCCCCCCCCCTCCGGGCCCGCCGCCGACTCAAAGTTCAGGATTCTTCTCACTCCTCGTGCCAGCTTTGGCGGCGCGCACAAGGGGGTGGAGGGAGGGGGGAGGGCTTCTTAGAAGGAGACTGCTTCTTAGAAGGCGCCGGCCTTACATCTACAGACAAGGCCCGCGCCTTCTAAGAAGCGGGGGTGCTTCTAAGAAGCCCTCCCCTCTCCCCCACCCACCCCTGCGCGTGGCTGACAGCTGTGCGCCACTCTCAGGCAGGGCCCTGCCTCCGAATCCGCCACTTGCCGTTGCTCGGACGTCCATTTCCCGTGTATTTGTCGGTGCCGTGTGTATTTCTTTACTCGATGGTCCAGGATGCTGGTTCTCGCCGAGAAGACATGCACACGCCCGAGCGATGCCGAGGCCACCCCCCCGCCACGCCGCGACCTTGCTGGATCCTCCGGCCCCCGCGGCCCGGCCGCCGAGGCCCGCGCGCCGAGGCCGAGGGAAGGGCCAGCCCCTCGGCTCGCCGACGGGGAGGCCCGCCCGGGAGCGCGCCCCGAGCCACAGGTCTTCGGGGCCCAGCAGCGGCGCCGCGGGCGCCGCCCGGGCAAGAACAGGAATATGCTGAAGTCGGGCCTGTCCCCCTACAGGGGGATTTTGGACGAAACATAAGAAATAGTCAAACATACGTCAACATTGCCAAACAATGCTCGACGAATCGTCCCCTGACTATTTTTTGGCTACTTTTGATCATTCCTCCTGTAGAGGGACAGGCCCGACTTAGGAATATGCCGAGATTCACCTCGGGGAGCCTCTCGCGGCGCCAGCAGCGCCGAGTGGCCCACCCGTCGGAGCCCGAGCGGCCCAGGCCGCGGGCCTGGTGCGCCGCGCCCCGACGAGGACCTCGAGGCGTAGACCCAGCCGCGGCGACCAGAGAGCCTCGGAAGAGGCCCGGCACCCCGAAAAAGTCGAGGGGCTCGGCAGAGTCCGCGTGTGCAGCTAGTCCCTCTGTCGTGCCGACGTGGACGCTGGTCTGACACCGCGTACTTCTCTCAAGCCTCCTCCTCCTCCTCCTCCTCCTCCTCCATTGCCGGACAGCGGATATCGCTCTAGGTTGACCTGGCCCAGGCCGCCGGTGGCCTTCGACCTTGAGCGCCCGACCCTGTCGCTGGCGCGTCGCAGCCAGTCAAGACTTGCGCGAACCTGCTGAGGGCCATACTGGTTCTACCATCCCGACCGGAGCACCCTATGGGCCATCTATGGGGCCAGCGAACGTGTGATGGGGTGCGCCGAAATGGACATGCGGACGGCAGAGGGCAGGAGGGGGAGGAGGGCGAGTAGGAGGAGGAGGAGGAGGAGGAGGAGGAGGAGGAGGAGGAGGAGGGGGAGGAGGAGGAGGAATGTTTCCAGCTTCCCTCGACCTGCACCTTCCGCACCTCCCGCGCGGCAGGTGCCGCGCTGCCGCTGGCCGCAGCGGCGCCCACCGCCGAAGCCGCGCCGCGGCGGCACCCTCACTCGAGGAGGGTGCGCCAGGTGCATCGTCCGTGCGTGCCCACGCGATGGGCCCCGAAGCCGAGGAGCGACCGGGAGCTTGACTCAGGTCGGGCGTGTCCTCCTACAGGCGGATTTAGCACGACAAATAAAAAACGTCTAAAGATATGCAAAAATAATCACGGAATCGTCCCCCGACTATTTTTGGACTATGTCTGAACATTCCTCCTGTAGGGGGGCACGCCCGGCTTACAGCTCGACCTCGCTCTCCGAGCCGCGACCCGCGGGCTCGACGTCGAGGCGCACCACCGCCGCGGCGGTGCGGGCGGCCAGCGTCGAGAGCAGACCGCGGCCCGCCGCGCCGACGCGGCGGCGAACCTGCTCCTGGGCCGCAGCTCGGGCCTCGGGCGTCGAACCCTGAAGACAGAAAAATCAGCTTCATCACAAGCACCCCGTCCTGCGAATCCCTTGAGCAAGCGCACCTGTAGGGGAGGGCGCGGCAGGGCAAGCCTACCCACCGGTCGGAAGAAGGAGGTCGAAACATGAAGCAGGAAGGCGCTGAAAGTAGATTGGGTTCCGTCCGCCCCCTTGGGAGGGAAGTGGGAAGGCGAAAACAAACCCCCACCCCCAGTCCCGACCCGTCCCCGAACCCGCGATCCAGGGGGGTCGCGACTGGGGGTGGGGGTGGTTTTGCGCGGTGGTTTGTCGAAGTCCAAGAATGGAGAAACCGCCCCCTACCCCCAGCCCCGACCCCCTGAAGAATGGAGAAAACGCCCCCACCCCCAGCCCCGACCCCCTGAATCGCCGGCTCGGGCATGGGAGTCGGGACTGGGGGTGGAGGGGGGGTTCCGCCTCCTGAAGAAAACCAGCCTCATCAGAAGCACCCCGACATGCGAAGCCCTGGATCAAGCGCACCTGACAGCACGGGCGCGGCAGGGCGAGCCTGTTCAGAGAACCCCCGAGGCCGTTCAGCAACACCGCCAGCTGTGGGGGTTGGGGTGCTGTGTTCTCCCCTGAGGCTCGGGATGATCCGGGGCAGCGCCCCCGCTCTCGGCGAGGCGCAGCTGCTGGCGAGCCGCCCACGGTCGGAAAACAAGCCGCCGAGGGCCGACGCAGACACCGAGAGACCCTGCGGCCTGCGCCTCGCCGTCGCGCGCAGCGCCCCGACGGCCCCGCGGCGGTCCTCGGAGCTGCCGCAGCTCCCGCCCGGGGTGCCCTCCGCGGCGAGCTTCGGCGAGGCCGCGGGCCTCTGGGCGCGTGCGGCCGCCCTCGCCCTCGCCGGCTGGAGCGTCGGCGCTCCCCGCATGGGGCCGCGGGGACGGCGTCCGCGGCGGCGGTGGGCGGCGGACGACGACGGATGAGGACGACGTCGACGGTGGCGGCGGCGGCGGCGGTGACGACGACGACGACGGCGGAGACGAAGACGAAGACGACGAAGACGATGACGGCGACGGCGACGGCGACGGCGCAAGCGACGGTATCGGCGACGGCGACGGCGACGGCGACGGCGACTGCAACTACGACTGCGACTACGACTGCGACTGCGACGGCGACGACGACGACGACGACGACGACGACGAGGACGAGGACGACGACGACGACGACGACGACGACGACGACGACGAGGACGACGACGGAGGCGCTGACGCGCGCTGCTAGAGGTCGAGGGGAACGGAAGGACGCAAGTACAGTAGATGTGTACGTCCAGAGTTCTCTTGCTTTGGGAGCTTCCGTGCTGCATCCACTGGCAGACTGTGTTCTTTGAATACGCGCTGCCTTCTGCAGAGAGGGTGAGATGGAGAGGGGGTAAGGCCGCGGGAGGGCATGGATCGAAGCGAGCCAGGATCGGGGGAATGGGGGGAAGATCGGAGTAAGTTTGCTCACCTTCGTCTCATCTATGCTGTGTCCTCTCTCTCTATCCTTATGTATCGATGCGTCTATGTACAAGTATACATACACATGTTTCGCTGATCGTTGTTTGTCATGTCATGTGGCACTGCCGCTCATGTGTCAAAAGACGCACACGCATTATGTACGTGTATGTTCTTCAGCGTAAACCCGAAACAGGCGGCTATTGCACTCTGGGTGGCTACGAGGTGCAGGCTATGTTGTGCAAGATCGGCGCGCTGCAAACAATGTCGTGCAGCCAACTTGTGGCGCCAGGAACGTGGTGCCAGCAAGGTGTTGTAAGCAGTGTGGTGCGAGCTATGTGTGGTGCAGTGCAGGCAGTGTGATGCAATCGATGTGGTATAACATGTGTGGTGCAAGCCACTCGGTGCAAGCTATACGGTGCAAGCTTTGGGGTGCAAGCCGAAAGGGAAATCAGCCATGTAGTGACAGCGATGTAGATGCAGCCGTGCACCGGGCGCCTCGGGAGGCACCCACGGCCGCCCACCAGGCGAAACCTCGACGCACCCAGCCCAGCGCACTGGGGCACCGCACGAGGCGCCCACGGCCGCCCACCAGGCGAACCCCATCCAAACCCATCCGATTACTTGCCAGCACAAACCAGAACCCCCAGTGCAAGCACTGTTTGAGGATCTAAAACATGCTCCCCGAACTAACGTTAGACATACATACATACATGCGTACATGCATGCATGCATGCATACATACATTCATATGTATCATAAGATGTACATCCATATATGTCGATCTATACATATACGCACACACAGCATTGGCCTTTGAGTTACCGTCAACCCAAACATACTCGCGTGTTTCCAGAAGGGTGCTCGCACGCAGCCTGGGCACCACCAAACTCACCAGCGCATGCTGCTCCATATGCATCGACCCACAGCTTGCCGCTCACGGACGGAGCCGCCGTTGCAACCATCGTTCTAGGAGTCTTGTCAGTACCAATGGGGGCCCACAAGAGGAGGGCAGCGAATGGTGCATCAGCTCCCGTGGGCCTCTACCTCGAGAGCCCTACCCTGTGTCCGAGCCGACGGCGCAACGCCCCAGACCTCGCCCCTGAGGCGGGGACAACAGCAGTGGTGTTCACTGCCGCTCCTGAGTCCACCGATGTTGCTGCCTGCAACAGGTTGGATCACATCGGAATCGGATTGAACCTGGTCCGAACCGACTCGCCTCGAAAGCTGACCGAACGGAATCGAATCGACTCGAATCGGACCTGTTCCCGACTGCATCGGGGCTGGCAGCTCCAGAAGCCCTGGGCACGCCAGCATGGACCTCTCTTCGGGGGGTGTGGCTCACTTCCGCTGGCGTCTACTGGCGGAGCCGCCCGCACCCTCTCTCGCGGGCGTCCGCCCGCCTTCCGCCGCCTTCCGCCGAGGGCGAGAGACCGCCCCACGTGACCCCTCGAGGACGGGGCGACATCTTGCAACAAGTCGGCATCGCGAGCCGCGTGGCGGCGCCTGCGGCAGGTGCTCTCGGCTGTCGCCAGGTGCCGGCCCGCCCGACGGGCTCGGCCCTCTGCTTCGCTCGCGACGCCGTCGCCCCGTCCCCGCCTCGTCACCGCGCGTGCCTGTCGCCAGCTCCTGACAGCCGGAGGGGCCCGCTTGGCGGACCGAGCAGCGGGCAGGCTGACTCAGCATCGTTTGGCCAATCCCCACTGACATGCTCTCCTGCTCCGGCAACTCCCCCTCCTCCTCCTCCTCCTTCTCCTCCTCTCCTCCTCCTCCTCCTCCTCCTCCTCCTCCTCCTCCTCCTCCTCCTCCTCCTGCTGACCCTGGCCCCACTGACCGACTCGCCACCCCAGATGGGGATAGATGCTGTTCCCTTCAGCCTATGCGGGGCCTGTCCCCATCTTGGGGGGTGGTCTGACAGGGCTGAGATGCCATGGCCCAGTGGGGACGGTGCTAGCTGACAGCGACGATAGAATAACGAATAACTGCATGAACATAAACTTTCACGGTCCGCACGGATTTCTTGGATCTGCGGTGACCCCCCTCCCTGGCGCGCGGAGCGTGCCAGGGCGGCGCCGGAGGCGCCGCCAGAGGGGCCCATCGCAGATTCAGTAGAGCCGCGAGGGCTTGCCGTCTTTGGATCTTCGAGACGAGGATTAAGTCGGGCATGTCCCCCAACAGGCGGATTTTGGACGAATACTAAAAAATACTCAAAACATACCCCCGAATAGTCTACAAATGCTCAAAGAAGTCGCCCCCAGACTATTTCGGCTACTACCTTTGAGTATTACTCCTGTAGGGGGACAGGCCCGACTTGATCTCAGGATCTTCGAGACGAGGATCTTTTTTTGGGTGTCTTTGGGGGGGGGGCCCGCTCCGCGCCTCCAGAGCGCCCCCCCCCCCCCCCGCGCGCGCGCCTGGGCTACACGCCGAGGCCCGCCACGGAGCACGCCCGCGCCCGAGAGCAACGCGGCCGAGGCGCGACCGGCGTGGTTTTGGCAGGTGGACCTCCCACGGGACGCACAGAGACATACTAATACTATACGTCCTCCTTGGAGGCGCGCGTCCGACCCGAACATATAGTATACCCATCTTGTCGTATATCGTTTCCCGAGCGGTGTGGCCAGAAAGCGCCAGCCACGACGCATATACTACGAGATTTCTCGGTGCGCGAGTCGCCCCTGGGGGGGGGGCGACGCACATATAGTATAAGTATCTTGGGGTGACGCCGATCTCAAGCTCTCCGCCGCCTCTGGCGGTGTGCGTCGCGAGCAGGAGCGCGGCAAAGCCACAGGAAGCGCAGCATGGTCAGTGCAGCTCCGCACACGTGACAGTGCCGCGCTTTTTCAGTGGCCTTGCTGCGTTCCCGCTCGCAGCGCACGCCGCCAGAGGCGGCGGAGAGCTTGCGAGATCCACCTACCAAAAGAGGGGGTGGCGCGGAGGGGCGGCGGCCTCCTCAGAAGGCGAGAAGGTTTCCAAGGAGCGGCCCCCAGGCATCCAGCCGCTTCAGACTGTTCGATGCGCGGGCCCCGGAGGTCCAAACCACTTCCACATAGGGCCCGCTCTTCCTCCTGGAGCAGGCTATTTGGCGGCCCCGAGGCAAGGCGAGGGCCCCTGGATGCCAGGCCCCAAACCCGCCGCTCCCCTTTCTGTCGGAGCGTGGGACCTCTGGGACCCCAGCCTTCCTGGGCAGAAGCCCCCTCCCCCCCCGCCTTCTTTAGAGGGCAGAACATCCACCCCGACAAGAAACACCCCGACACGCGAAGCCGCTTAGTAAACGCACCCAAAGAAGGGATCAAACAGGACAGTGCTGTTTAGTAAACTCCCAGGGCCGTGTAGTAAACGCCACTTGGAGGAGGAGGAGGAGGAGGAGGAGGAGGAGGAGGAGGAGGAGGAGGTCGCCCCCCGCGCGCCACCCCCCTTGGCGTGCGGCCGCCGTGACCTCCGCACGGCAGACGGAGGCCACGGCGCTGCCGAGGCTGGCGCTTCGGGGCACCGCGCACGCCTGCACAGCTCCGCGCGGGGTCGGCCGCCAGGGCGAGAACTGCGGCAGGCACCCGTGGCGGCGCGCGCAGGGGGGCAGAGGGGAGGAGGGAATGCTTCTCAGAAGGAGGCTGCCTCTCAGGAGGCGCGGGCCCTGCATCTACAGACAGGGCCTGCGCCTTCCAAGAAGCAGGGGCGCTTCTAAGAAGCCTTCCCCCCTCCCCCTGCCCCACTCCGCGCGGAGTCGGCCGTCGGGGCGAGAACTGCGGCAAGCACCCAACTGGGCAGGATCAACGGGGCTGCAGAAAAACGTGGCTACAGAGGCACTGAAAAATTCTGCGGGCGAGCAGGTGTGTGAGCGCGCGAGCGTCCGAGCGCGTCAGCGGGCTGTCTGTCGGAGCCGGAGATACGCTCCGGCGCTGGCTCACTCAGGCGACGACCACGGGCTGCGCGTCTGCCACGGCGTTGAGGGCCGCCTGGTAATCTCGTGGGCTCATCAGGCGCCAGCCGCCGTTGCCCGTCAGCTCCAGGACCATGTCGTGGTGCTCCAGCAGGCTGGCCCTGTGGCCGACGGAGACGTAGCTGATGCCGCGCTCCTGCAGGCGGCAGTACAGGTTCTGCTCGGCCGGCACCGGCAGCGCTGACGTGGCCTCGTCGAGCACGGCCACCCTCGGCTCTGCGAGCAGGCAGCGTGCCGCCGCCACCCGCTGCTGCTCGCCCAGCGACAGCACGCGCGTCCAGTCCTGCACGGAGCCGAAGCCGCCCTCGAAACGCTCGGGGAGGTCGCCCAGCCCGAACTTTGAGAGCACCTCCACCAGATCCTCGTCGGGGACTGTCGCTTGGCCGACGTCAGAGGGATACAGCAGCTGCAGGCGGAGATCGCCGAGCGGCATGTAGGGCTTCTGCGGCAGGAAGAGCATCTGCCCGATCTCGGGCCGCCGGATGCTGCCCGCGCCCTGCGTCCAGAGCCCGGCGATCGCCCTGAGGATGCTGCTCTTGCCGACGCCGCTGCTCCCGACCACCAGCAGCCGGCTGGGCAGGTCCACGGCGCCCATGCCGCCGAGCGGGGAGCTCTCGGCCACGCCGAGCAGCAGGCTGACGTCGCGCACCAGGGTCCTGCCCGTCGGAGTCTCCAGCGTAACGCCGTCCAGCTTGATCTGCCCGGCGCCCGGGCCAGACTCGGCCACCGTGGTGATGTGCCCGTGGGTGTGCGACTGGGCGGTGGGCAGCTCGCTCTCTTCCGTCATGATCGCCTCGTAGAAGGTGCCGAGCCGGTTGACACCCGCGGAGAAGCGGCTGATATCCTGGATGCGGGACACAATCAGTGTGACCGAGCTGAGCACCATGGAGAACGCGAAAGACACTTGGCCAAAGGTGCCAAAATCCACCTTGCCAGCAAAATACAGCCCCCCGGCGACGAAGTAGGGCACCAGCCGGGCAACGTAGAAGAAAGTCTTCTGGTAGAGCGTGAGCCCCGTGTTCCTAAAATAATATAAATATCAGAGCCGCTACTCCCCGAAGCTCTAATGGGCGCGTTTTTTCAAGGATTCTGAGGCGGATCCAGCCGTTGAGACGAGGCCCTCCCAGGACGCCCAAAAAGTTGAAGACGAGGTAAAGACAATGTCAAAGCAAGTGCAGCAGAAGTCGGGGCAACAATCCTTGTTGCCAACGGATGCTCTGGTTCACCCGAAACTCACTGGCTTAAGCAATTTGGCGCGACTTCTGCTACACTTGTCTCGACATTGTAGTTGTACCTTGTATTGAATGTCGGTGTCGGCAGGTTTGTTCTCCTATGGGTTCCACTGGATAACGCGGTCGAAATTGCGAACTGCCGCGGTCAGCTTCTCGACGACGCCCCCTCGCTCGCGCGCCTCGCCCTGATAGAACGCGATGGCCTCTGCGTTATCCCTCACGTGCACCAGTGAGTACCTTGCATTTCTCTCCTTCGATTCCTCCTCCTCCGCCTCCGCCTAGGGGATCGAAGACAACAGTGTTTGAAAATGCTTGGAAGGCATTGCATGCTGTTTTTTCTCAGTAAGGGCTCTGGCACAGGGTTCGCTTTGTGTGATCGGGCCTTTGGCCCTAGACCAGACGGGTGTAAACCACGGTGCGTCGGATTGGCCAGCGGAGATTTCTCACGTTATGGGGGGTTCTCCAACATGGAACATCAGGGCGCCATATTCTTACACGTGGAAGTGATTGCGCGCAGCGGGGGCTATCAAACATGCGTCTGGCACGTATTTTCACGCGCGTGCGCGCTAACGACGGTATCCATCATGGGGGCGCCAGAATCTTCGGACGCAAAAAAAGCGCGCATGGGGGGGGGATCGAACATGCGTCTGGCAAGCATGCATGAAAACGTTCTCTTACTCATGGGGTTAGCGGGCGTGCCGGGAGGGGCGCGGGGGGGCAACATAACGCGACGCCCCCCCTCCCTCCCCTGCACTGGGCCCCGGCGCCACTGGAGCGCTCGCGCAAATCCTGGGCCGTACGTCGACGACAACGAAAGCGACGACGAAGATGAGGACCGAGCACGAGGAACAAGGACGACGACGACTGGACGACGCAACAAGTGGCAAGTGCGTGCCCAGGCTCATATGAACACATGTGCAGT